TTATATCCTCACATGCAGATAACTGGTTTGAAAAATCACAAAATATTGGGAATAACACTCCAATTAATGTGAAATTAGAACATACAAAAATTTGTAATCTTACATATAGCTTTAAAGAAATTTAATGATCTTTAGAAATGTTTTTCACAGAATGATAATAAATTGATAAATATTTTAACTAACTGGAAAAATTGCAGAAATTCTTATAAATAAGAAGAAAGTTTTGTAAATGAAAATAATTTTGGAAAATCTTTATTTATTGAATGTTTTGAAGATTCATAGTTATGTGATTCATTTTAGGTAAGCATTATAAATATCAGGGATTTTTTTTATTTTCTTTCTGTAAACCTAACATAGACCTTACAATTTAAAAACTGATAGACAATATATCCTTCCTGGTAGAGAAGGTCATGAATGTTTTCCTGAAACAGGTAACGTGGTACACATTTTTAAAGATGGTTCTAAATTAATAATACTAGCCATGTAGTGTTTGCTAATTGGAGTTTATTGAAGGATTTAAACCTTGATCATAGAATTTAGATGTTGCACTTATTTTTACATCACAATGGAGAGCTTTGATTATTGATCTGGAAAAAATTATTCAGATTTCAGTTGGACATTTTGTGATTCTAATTTGGAGAGCTCTCTCAAAATGTAAATCATTATCTAATATAAGTGGTGGAAAAAAGTCAATTTAGTTTGATATACATTTCTGCTTTTGGACTTTCCAGACTGCCCATGGAGTAGAGGGACTCAAAAGAGCTCAATCTACCAAGAAGTTCAAACAGACATGTAAAATACTGCCTCCAAACATAATATAAGCCCCCTTCATTTCCCAGCTATCCTTCGCCTCTCTCTCATTCCCCCATCTCCCCCAAAAATTTTGAGCTGCCAGATCTCACCTGCCCCCAAAACGGTTGGGTCCCAACTAAACAAGCAACTGGGTTAAAAAGACCTAGGACACACAATTTCCTAGTTATGGGTGATTTTGAATATTGCAATAACCTGCAAACTCCTATTATTTCATTAAAATCCACTTTGGCATGCAATTCTCCATACACTTGTAGCACATTTACACAGTGTTCTGGAACGTTTTTTTAAAAACTGCCATCTTTTCTATCACATAATACATCACAAAAAAATTATAAATCATTAAGCATATGATAATTTGTAACTAAATTCCAAAATCAAAAAATTACCGGGAGCCACAACAAATTATACACATTTATTTTAAAGACCAAAATTAATTTTGAAACTGTTGCAGTCACTTCCAAACATATGTTTAAAGTCATAATTTGTTTTCAACACTGGAAAGGGTATTAATGGTTTTAATTTTTTTCACCTTTCCCCAAACCTGAAAAAATAAACACTGGTGTTTTGAGATTTTTTGGGCCGCATTCCATGTAAACACAGTCAAAATAAATGTTCGTTAATTTTTTTGAAGCAGACATTAGTTTCTTCTTTTTTTTATTAATTAGAAAAGTAAATGGATAGTTGCAGAAAAAATTAAAAACACATTTTGGCTGTAGATGGATGGGTGGGAGGCAAAGAAATTCTTCAAAAATCTTAATTTTATTTTTAAAGTCATAGTTTAACTACTCTTGCATCATTTTGTTTTAGGAAACATTTTAAATCTTATTCAGGGGTACCCTTTGCTAATGACGGAAAACACTTCCTCAGCCTTTACTTTGGAATGCTTGTGTAGAGTCAAATCATTAATAAAAATAGGTATTATGCCTTTTATTTATATTATTTTATTATTTAGGCAATATCAGAGGACAGAAAAAACAAACAAAATTCAGAAATAAAACTAAACAAATGGACTAATCAAAGGACATATCAGAAGGTATGCAACTTGAGATTAAGGACCATATCCACAGTCGACACTTATTTTTTAGGAAAACTTAAATGTTTATTTATTCGTATTTTCCATTCCTCATCACGTGTTTGCTTAAGCATTCACTTTTTCTTACAAGTTAGCTTATCTGTACCATTAATGATTTTGAAACGTTTTTGGAATATATTGAAATCAATATGGAAGATCATATATAAAAACGATATTTGAGTGATCTGGAAAATCCTTTACAAACGCATAGTCAACAAGAATTTAAGAAGAGTTATCTTTTTGAAAAGGATACGGTTGTAAACATATTAGTGCCTCTGTTGGAGACTCACATGGACTTGAGTAATAGAAGATTATCATTACTTCCACTCCTATGAATGATAATAGCATTAAGATTGTATGCAATACCAACATTTCAGGTATGTAATTTACTGATTTCAATTGCAATACATTCAGATGTATTTTGTAGGTTATCCTACGAGAACCATGTTTTAAAGGTTATTCAACAATGATGATCTCAATACACCATGCGAAAAATTATTTTTATTTTACTTTATTGTTTATTTTTTTTAGTTGGTATGTGCAGATCTCTATAAAATACATCAGCTCTCCATCGGTAGAATCATTACAGAAATACCTGAAGTAGAATCAAAAAATATTAAAAAGTTCATAAAATTCCCTTCACCTGTTGTGGCATTGAACCAGCTGCAAATAGATTTTTCTAATAAAGCCTGTTTCCCTGGAGTTGTTGATGGGACACACGTTCCAATTCAAAGTCCTGGGAGGAAATAATGCAGAAATACTTTGGAAGAGAAAAACTTGCTTCTCCAGAAATGTGCAAATTGTCGATGGTCCCAAAAAAGTAATCTTGGATATAGATGTGAGATGGCCAGGTTCAGCTCATGACATAAGAAACTTTGAAAATAGTGATATTGAGTGAAGTTAAGTGAAGGAAAATTACATGGACATATACTAGGGGTCAGCAGATAACCACAGAGAAATTATATTTATACACCAGAACCACATTTTTTTAAATACCCTGTGCAATAAAGTAAACATATGCATAAAATAAATAAATCACATTTGAAAACTAAATATCACACACCATACATTCTAATTACACAAAATCCGAAGAATTCTGCCAAAAGCAATTATTTTCACATGACTTAACACACCAAATAAAACAAAATGTATACTATTTCCTTTCTGTTGACACGTCTATCGAATAAAACAAATGCTATTCATACACTTTAAAGAACCACCAAAATAGTAAACAAGACTGACATGGCCTTCTGAATTTGTACCCAGTAACCAATAACACAATATTGCCAAATAATACACAGCGAAATATTGACCAAGTGCAACTCTTAAACAAGTAGTGTCTATAAGTCGGAAACTGTCATATCCATTTATTTTAAGTAAATCCTTATTATGTAGGTGTTTACATATAACGGCAAACTATGAATATTACCCTAAATTAATAATACATAATAGGAATTCAAAACCAATACACATGTGTGGATGGCGATCAGAGGTTTGGACAATGAAAAGTACTGACTGGGCCATGCAGATGAGATTTCTACATCATCTTACAGAAAACGCATTAAGAGATCAGCAAAGAATATGGCTTAAAACAAGGATCATAGTAGAAGACAAAAAGGAATGTCTGAATAAATGGTTTTCTCACATGAACAGAATGATGCAAGAAATGATTCTCAAAATCACCATTGAATCATAAATCATGAGGGTGAAGAGACATTGGAAGACCGCAAAACACATGGCTAGATCAGGAACACTTCAAGGAACTAAAATCCCACCAGATCTACTGAGAAACAGGTTCTACGGCTCATAGCACACCCTCCGTTTCGGAAATGGTGGAAAGTACTGAGGAAGAAACTTGATATCGAGTCCTTCACTCAATGCTTGAGACTGCTTTCATTTACAAAGCCTTTCAAACCAACGAAGACCCCCCAACGCTAAAACAATTAGCTCAACATGTCCTCACTATAGAGCAAAGAAGACAAGCACTCCCCTCTAATATTCTGAGGGCATAATGCATCACAAAAGCCGATTTGTCTATTGACTAAGGTCTGACACAAACCTACACCAGCCAATTACACGTAGCAGCAAAGCCAAAAAAAGGACTAGTACTCAGCATAATATTATTGTGAATTTTTTCCAGCTTGAAGAAAAAATACTTTAGCACTTTTTTCACACTATTGAATCCCATAAATTGAATTTCAATAATAATATAACCACAAAAACAATCAATGTGCAATGTCAGCCTTAATGCAGCCAAACAGATAATCTTCTCCCCCACACATCACATACAGCTTTTACTGTTTTTTGACTAGATAAATCTAAATCTATATCTACACAGACTTTGAGGTTCCATAAATAAAAGGCCATTAATGACTTTACAAATGCATGCATTTCAAAATTAACATACACATTTTTGTTGTGTTTGTGAAATATGACAAACATGTTATTATATGTTATACTTTAAACAATTCAATAAAGTGTCTCCATTCACTCAATATAACATTTTAACTCAATAATTCCTGAAAACACTGTTGAAATGAAATCAAGCATTCACACTGAGTGTACTGAATTATTGATGAACCTATGACTTATTCTATTGTATCTCGATAATTCTTTAGTTCACATTTCAACTTCTCTATTAACATGCTTGATGAAACACAAATGAGACAAACAAAACTGGTTTTATATACTCATAAGTGTCAAGGCCATAAAGAACATCCAGCCATGCTATTTAAACATTACTATTTTCAAGCTACATTCTGATTTAATGGATCAGAAAGTTACAGCAAATACAATAGAAAAAAAAGAAAGAACATTCATCACTTATGTCTTGAAACAAAACATGATTAATACAAAATGTATTTGAACAAAGATCCATCAACATTTCTGGAATATTTAACTAAATAATATTATTGCAATAAAATATTATTAAAATAAAAATTTCTATTGGCGTATTCTACTGAGTTTAACTAAAGGGGCCACAAGTTTTCACAATTAAAAAAGAAATTACAGAAATTAAAAGAAGCGAAGTTTAAGAGTATTTTCTCTAAAAGTTATTTTAGTTTTCCAATATACATGTCTAATTCTTTTAATCCTTAAAAATAAACATATCCTGTCAATTACGAAACGAGTCAATTGTAATCTTATCTCGCAAGGTTGGAAAAAAGTCAAGCCAGTGATCAGTTAATGGAGCATCTTTACACAATAAAATTCCGATCATCAATTTCCTCATTATATTCATTTTTTCTAATTTCCTGGAAATTTTTGCCTCTATTTCTGAAGCTATTTTCGACTTTGAATCCTGAGTTCTCTTCTCCATAGTTCTTTTACACAGCACAAGTTCTTTTTGTAAACAAGATCTTGCTTCACAAACTTCTAAGTGTGTATTCCTTTCTTGCTTTGCCAATTCAATTATCTGGGTTTGATGCTGTTGTAAAAGAATTAGCTGGTTCAACATCTTTGATTCCTTTATTTTGTCAGTAGGTTCACGTAAAATTAAACGTTGCAAATAACTTGTACTAAATGCCAAATCTCGAGCATTCTGAATTGCGATAATTTTTGAAATTGCTGTTTGTAACTCCACAAACCTTTTATCTGCTTTGGAAGTTTCTTTGGAAGCTTCTTTGGAAATTTCTTCGTAATTTCGAAGAGCTTGTACAGAAAATCTTTTTAATTCCACTGTCCTCAACATCGACTCTTCGAAATCTTGGGATTCATATAGCAATCTATGCCTTACAATGTCAGTTTCAAACTCGCTAAGTGCGTCTTTAAACTTATCAACTTCAGAACGGAAACGCTCAACCATTGTAATAGGATTTCAGCTACAAGTGTATCTGTATTGGCAAAAGATACACGACTTTCACGCAACTTTAGAAACGTCGGGCACAGTGAATATTAGTTATTAATATTAATACATTAGTCACATGATATCACTTTTCTTTCACTTTGAAACCACACACCTTCACACTTGTTTCACTCATTTTCACTGACGCCGGTTTCGTAGTTTGAATTTGAAAACAGGAACAAATTAATTCGAATAGTGACTTCCGACTGATCATCAGCTGGACACCGTTATCCAATCGGTAGCAACAACACAAAACCTTTTACATTAGTAACAAAACTTTCGATTGGATAACTGCGAACAGCTGAAATCTATCAGAAGTCGTTTTATTTAAATCGAAGTGTACTCTTGAACACGAATCGCCAACTTTCTGCACAAAATGTGTGCAAGGAGCATTAGGTTTCTGCTTGGAGATGCGCCAATCATGAAGTCTATAGAATGTCAAGAATGACCACTTTTGGCGGGAAAGTATTGAATGCCGGGTGGCGAGCTCTGGTGTGCGCATTTGCGTTTCCGTAAGTTTTCGGGTGGATTATGCGGTTGAATTGTATTATCATCTTTCGGTTTGTTTAGTTTCTGTCTGCTCATATCATTCAAAAATATAATTCAAACAAGCCCTGTACTATACCTGACATACCTACCGGGTCTGTGGGTATGTCTAATAAAATACTGTTTCTTGGAAAATGCTTCGAAGTAAATATTACTGTGATTGTTAGCGATGATGTTAAGGTGCTACTTTATAATAAAATGAAATGTATAAAACATTTAGATCTATGTGCCCTTTCATTGTATATGAAGAGCGCCAACGTGCTACGTTTGCGCTCATGTAGCCTGGGCAACATTGAGGAACGGTCGAGTATCGTCTTTCTGTGTCAGGTTGTGTTATAAATCTATAAATGAAAGAAAAATGATACCAGTGAAGAGTTTCGATAGTATTTTTCATTAGTGTAAACACACTTTTTCCTCACGAGGAACTCGTATGTTTGAGTTTGGTCAGAGCTCTGTACACCATATATCCGTTTTAGTTCTTGTTCTCTCTTCCCTTGTGCGACTACACTATTGTGAAGAACGAAAACTATAATTTAGTTTTCAATTAAAGCACTTCAATATTCAAAAGGAAATCCAGAATAGCATTTCCTAGAGACAGCGTCACGAGTAGAATACATTTGTAGTCGACATACCGGATGGTCACGTGCAATCAAGATTGCCAAGATATTTCCATGGAAGTGGTAACCTAAATCTTTGTTAGAATAAAAATGTGAATTATTTTAACTATTAACATTTTTACAATAATTACTTTTAAATAATGATTTTTCCAGGTTTCCAGTGCTTTACACCCCTAGTTTCGCCACAATGCCTTTTTCGAGTGCCTATTTTAGTAAAAATAAATGCTTTTCTGCCTGCCTATTTTAGATAAAGTAAATGCCTGAACTTCCGGGCTCTAGTAATAATATTATGCATGACCTTGCTGGGGCCCAAGTGGGCTTAAAAAAAACCAACGTACCAACCTCGGCAATAAAAATTGACTCATAGAATAAAAGCTAGCTGGACAGAAATTTCCCCGCTATGAACATTGAGACACATATGAATACTTCGATTTTTATCCATAAAAGCACTTGTAGATCTCCAGGAAGAGGCAGGCATGCGATTGGGAAACAAACTGACTTAGGTTCAAGTTTATTTTTTTCGCTAAAAAATGAAAGTGACCTTAGCTGCTCAAGTACTGAGCAGATCTGTAGGTGATGTAGAATACTGTAAAGAAAGAAATATAGATGGATTCAGCAAAAGTGGGTGTACAGCAGAATTTGTTTTAATGTTAAACCATTTATTTGACCTTCTGAAATCAAGAAGTTTGTACAGGAAAGATGGCATTAAATGAATCGAACATGACAATTAGAGAGTATGTCTGTTTGAAATGAAACAATATAAATTGGGACTGAAAGATGCGTCTGGAAAGCCTTAATACCAATGTGGGCAAAATGTAGCTTCGTAAGTCTTTTAACTTGCATTGAGAGCACTTTATAAATTTATGACTTACTTGTTGGCAGACATTTGAAATATCTGTCATATCAGAAATATTGTCAATACATTTTAGTTCAAATTAATGGCACAATTTTATGGCTTGTTATTTATATTGCCCTACAATTGGTGTCATCTAACAGAATTGAAGTAATGTTCCGACATGGACAAGGAGAATTATTTAATAACCTGACTAACATGGTAAGTTCCGTATTTTATTTATTATTTCATTATAATATTCTTGAAATTTGCTGTTAGGTTCAAGGTGCATATAAATATATTAGAATAATTGGAAAAATGAAGGTAACTTCCTTCATCCAAGAAAGAAAACTAGAATAACCTGTAATAAATCTAATTACATACTTTTGTACTGATTTTAAGTAGTGGCATAGATGGATTTTAATTAGTAAGACATTCAGTCTTTTTTTACAAGAAACTAGCTGTCAAAATGATGCTTTTGTGATTGAATTGTACACTTACTGGTAGAATCTTGCTTGCACTGTTATCGTAATAACCATTATTCATTGTGCACTTTGCAATGAACTACCTCAAAGAATGAAATATTCGCTGCCTTACGAAATAAAAAATATTACATTTTACTTGCTTATAATGGAACTTTCGCCAGGAGGTACCAAAACGACGGTGCGCAATTGTGGTGGCTTATTTGGTATCTGCAGGAAGAGACACATAGGAGCGACTGGAATTATAGTACTCTTTGGTGAAGACAAGGCCTCGCGCGCCAAAAAATAGAATCTCAAGTATAATATGAATGTACAGCTTCTTATTATAGTGGAATTCAATGTCACATCCAGACCATGGTGGAAAGAACACATTACATAACATTATTTCCACCACGATCCAGATAAAGAACCCTCTAAGGTTCCTCTCTTACACCTCTTGATCCAGAATTCTCACTACAGTAACATAGGAATGAAGCAAAAATGTAAAAAATATTGACAAAGAGTAATATAAAAGAAAATAACAGAAAGTGTTACAGAATGGCACAGACTTATCCGTATTAGTTTTCTATTTCCTTTGGTCTCGGTTAGCTACTCGGACTTGCCACATACTCTTGCCACCTGCCATCAATCGCAGGCCAAAGTACATTTTTTAAATATTTTCTTAATCTTTCTGTTTCTTAATAGAAGAGTGGAAATATTATTTTAAGAACATCGCAACAACCTATAACAGACATTGACTGTATTTTATTATTTGTCAATATTAAAATATAAAGACATTCTTCCATTTATTAACCCACCTTCATTAGAAGATATTTATCATCTGGTACCTCTGTCAAAAATCTATTTAAATCATATCTGTCAAAGACATGTGACGTTTTGGAAGTCACTTCTTTATTTTTTGTTTTCACAAAATCAATTAAGTTGGCATAACTTGAAATATCAATCTTTTCTTTCAGACATAACATCTTTTTAGCATTGACAAATAAAGCCACAAACAACTTGGTTTCACAGTAATTGACTAACAGTCAATTTTATTTATTCGTTCTGAAAAATAAACTATAACACTTCTTCACTACTATGTGTAACTCCCTTAGCGATTTTCCACGATTTGTATAGATTATATTATTTTTCGTAGACATCTTTACTTTTTGTAGGGAGCGTTGCATTCATTGCGATTTCAGCTTCTTCTAATATTTCGTCAGGAATATTATTTTAATCCTCCATGCTTTCTAAATTTATTAGGTCACTATGGTGATCGTAAATACACAGGCAAGGCCTATTAAAATTATTGTTCTTCGGAATAAAAATGACCTCATCAAAGTAAATATGGAATGCTAAAGATATATTTTTATTTTCAAAATTAAAAAAAAATTGAATGGAAACGAAAAAATATTGACCGTAACACGTGTATAAATGCGTATAATTACACTCGTGGTAAATAAAGAAACTCGCTCCTATCGTCGCTCGTTTCTTTCATCATATCACATCGTGCAATTATACGCCTATTTATACACTCGTTTCGTTCACTACTATAAAGGACAGAATTTAAAATAGGTTTTAAATAATTTCTAAGTGATTACTGATTTGCAAAGTATAACAAAATGTAAGAAACGAACAAAGAAATATGAAATATTATACAAATTCTAATTTACGTAGCATCCAACTGTCTGGAAACATCTTTCATATCACGTTGACAAAGCGTAGTAAATTCGGAGCAGGCGACTTGTCACCAATTCACGAAAAGAAATATTCCATTTTCGGACAAATTCAACATGACTTTATTTGAAGATATGTTTTTGATGAACACATTTCATTAAGAGAAACAAGTTGTATCTTCACAATTAATAGTTGTAGGACGTCGAAAAAATTTTAATTCTTTAAAATTTTCGAAAAATTAGGCATTTTAACGACAATGAGACCTGTGCCATTCTTGAAAGCGTACATCACGCAATCTAAAGTTGCAATTTAATCAAAAAACTGTTTGCCATTTTTAAGAAAAAAAATTGTTAAAGACAATTAAAATTGCCTATATTTGACACAAAATTTTGCACAAATTACTGTATCTGAAAAATCGATTTTTCAAGGTTACCGACGAACATTGAACTAGCACTATTCTCTTAAACGTCCTACACACTATCCAACAACAAAATTTAATCAAATGGATGGATTTTTTTAAATTTTTTATTTATTTATATTTATTTTCAAAAGGTCCCAGCGACTCCATGTAAAGTACCCCCACAACTAAAATATCGGTTTCAAAGTGAAGGGGCTCTGACATCAGCCAGATCGATTGAGGAATATTAATTCTCGAGAAAATCAGCTGAACGCTTTAGCCGCTAGCATTGTTCAGACGGACAGACAGACGTTTTGCCATCAATTTTTCGGTATCAAGGTCCCACAAAAGGATTCTGGCAACACCACGTGTTAGGGGATCCCCCCCAAATTTAGCAACTGAATTTATACATTTATTCCTTACCAGGGTCC